TTGTATTCAGCCCCCCAGAGTCAATACTTTGTAGGACCCCCTTTAACTGCAATTCCAGCTGCAAGTATTTTTGGGGATGTCTCTACCAGCTTTGCACATCTAGAGAGGGACATTTCTGCCCATTATTCGTTGTAAAATAGCCCAAGCTCTGTCAGATTGGATGGAGAGCGTCTGTGCACAGCAATTTTCTAGTCTTGCCACAGATTCTCAATTTGATTTAGGTCTGCACTTTGGGCCATTCTAACATATGAATATGCTTTGATCTAAGCCATTCCATTGTAGCTCTGGCTGGATGTTTTCGGGTCATTGTTCTGCTGGAAGGTGAACTTTCACCCCAGTCTCAAGTCTTTTGCAGACTCTAACAGGTTTTCTTCTAAGATTGCCCTGTATTTGACTCCATCCATTTTCCCATTTTCCCATCAACTCTGACCAGCTTCCCTGTCCCTGCTTAAGAAAAGCATCCCCACAACATGATTTTGCCACCACCATGTTTCCACCACCATGTTTCAGTCCTCATGCACACGGGACATTTTTAAAACTGCTGTTTTTGGCTTTTGATGTTTTTTTCTGCAGCTAGTAAACTCCCCAGCATGTTATCCTATGTGTCCATACACACATAGACTGGAATCAGCTTTTTTTGGCTGGGACGTTTTGTGACTGGAAAAAAACCCCAGGACTAGTGGGTTTCTAGCATTAGTTTGCTCTAATGCTGACAAAAGCGGTAAATCGCAGCAAACCAACGTTTTTGGACTTTTTTCAACCAAAAAAAAAATTGGGGGGTCAAAAAAACCTAAAAAACACTAAAAAAACACAAGCGTCACTAAACGCTAATACAAAAATGCTAAACATTTTTAAAAACTCACAATTTTAACGTGACTTTACACAGCTAACGTTACCAGCCTTATTAAAACACCCGTGTGCATGGAGCCTCATGGCAGGAAGTAGTGTTCAGGGTGATGTGCAGTGTTAGTTTTTCGCCACACATAGCGTTTTTCTTTTAGGCCAAAAAGTTCCATTTTGGCCTCTCTGACCAGAGCACCTTCTTCCACATGTTTGCTGTGTCCCTCACATGGCTTCCCCCAAACTGCAAAAGCCCCTTCTTATGGCTTTCTTTCAACAATGGCTTTCTTCTTCACACTCTTCCATAAAGGCCAGATTTGTGGAGTGCACAACTAATAGTTGTCCTGTGGAAAGATTCTCCCACCTGAGTGTGGATCTCTGCAGCTCCTCCAGAGTCACCATGGGCCTCTTGACTACTTCTCTGATTAATGATCTCCTCGAGGCCTGTCAGTTTAGGTGGACGGCCATTTCTTGGTAGGTTTGTAGTTGTGCCATACTCTTTCCATTTTTGGATGATGGATTGAACAGTGCTCTGTGAAACATTCCAAGCTTGGGATATTTTTTTATAACCTAACTCTGCTTTAAACTTCTTCACAACTTTATCCCCGACCTGTCTGGTGTGTTCCTTGGCCTTCATGATGCTGTTTGTTTACTAATGTTCTCCAACAAACCTCTGAGGGCTTCACATATACTGTATTTATACTGAGATTGCTGCATTTATACTGAGATTAAACTACACACAGGTGAGCTGCTCTATTTACTAATTAGGGGACTTCTGAAGGCAATTGGTTCCACTAGATTTTTGTTAGGGGTGTCAGAGTAAAGGGGGCTGAATACAAATGCACACCACACTTTTCAGATATTTAATTGTAAAAAATATTGAAAACAATTTAGCATGTTCTTTCAACTTCACAATTATGTGCCACTTTGTGTTGGTCTATCAAATAAAATCAATAAATACAATTTACATTTTTGGTTGTAACATGACAAAATGTGGAAAATTTCAAGGAGTATGAATACTTTTTCAAGACACTGTATATGGCAGCAACTTGGACCAGTGTAACTATTCAAAAATACCCATACCTAGAATTCAGCTTTAAAAGCTTACTGGATTTCTGGCAGGGATAATAAATTGAAAAATGTGCATTTATTGCAGAGATGTACTGAATGCTATGGAGTTTTACTAAAACTGGAGTACTCAGAATCTGGTGTAGCTGTGCATGGTAGCCATTCAGCTTTTAACTTCAGCTTGGTGAATTAAGCATTGACAATAAAACCTGGAAGCTGATTGGTTTCTATGCAGAGCTGCACCAGATTTTGCACTCTCCAGCTTTAGTAAATAAACCCCTATATTTTTTCATAAACCTACATTTTAACCCTGCTTTGAACATTTCTGTTACGTAATACTGAATGCAGCACTAAGAGGCCCAGCACAAACCCTGAAAAACATCCCCACATCATAATTCCCCCTCCACTAAAGTTTACACTTGGCACAAAGCAGTCAGGCAACTACCATTCTCCGAACAACCGCCAAACCCAGACATGTCCATCAGATTGCCAGACAGAGAAGCGTGATTGGTCACTCCAGAGAACACGTCTCCACTGCTCTAGAGTCCAGTGGTGGCGTGCTTTACACCACTGCATCCGACGCTTTGCATTGCACATGGTGATGTAAGGCTTGGATGCAGCTGCTCGGCCATGGAAACCCATTCCATGAAGCTCTCTACACACTGTTGTTGTGCTAATCTGAAGGCCACTTGAAGTTTGGATGTCTTTAGCTATTGACTCTGCAGACAGTTGGCGACTTCTGCGCACTGTGCGCTTCAGCATGCGCTGACCCCATTCTGTCATTTTACGTGGCCTACCACTTGGGGGCTGAGTTGCTGTTGTTCCCAGTTGCTTCCACTTTGTTTTAATACCACTAACAGTTGACCGTGGAATATTTAGTAGCCAGGAAATGTCACGGATGGACTTATTGCACAAGTGGCAGCCTATCACGCTTGGAGTCACTGAGTTCCTGAGAGCGACCCATTCTTTCACAAATGTTTGTAGAAGCAGTCTGCATGCCTAGGGGCTTGATTTTATACACCTGTGGCCATGGAGGTGATTGGAACACCTGAATCCAATGATTTGGAGGGGGGCCGTATACTTATAGCAATATCGTGTATGTGAAAGGGGAAGATGGAAGGTTTTCTGTTTAAAGGATAAATTCACCTTTTAGATAAAAATAATAAATGCACATTTTTTTACAGGTAAAAAAATGTGCATTTATTATTTTTGTCTACAGGAGCCTGGAAAGCATTGCACCATCGATCAGTAGATTGCTGAGGTGATGCAGGTCTCCTGCAGACCTGTCAGAATATCTGCTTGCCATACGGGATGTACAAGCAAGCAGATATTATGACAGGAAGCTTCACTGAACTCCACAGCACTGTGGTAGGTAATTGAAAACTACAAGTCTTACAGTTCATTCATTCATGGAAGTCCGTGAATGAGTGATGCAGCTATTTGATATGTGGGCGTGGCCTACGTATGTGTTCATTATGAGGGGATGGGGGCACATTAAAATTTATTTTTATTTTTTTTTTATTTTTTGCTCTATCCCTTTAAAAAAATGTTTTACCACTTTTATTCTTATCAGGAGAAATACATGCATCCCTTGTGATAGAAATAATTAGTGACAGGTCCTCTTTATGGTGACATATGGGGTCAATAAGACCCCACATCTCTCCTCTGCAATGTAAAGCATTGGATCAAAAAAAAACATTGATCTAGTGCTTTAAAAAACATCACTCTAGTCCTCCAAGGGCATAGAGATGAGTGGAGGCCAAAAGGGGAAGTTCCGCTTTTGCACTCCCCCCACCACTTTTTATAACAATTATTTATTTGGGGGGAGGGAGTACCTAGAAGATCCCAGAAGGCTACAGGACCATTCAAAAAGCGCAGCGTGGCTTACGCATGTGCAGTGGGAAGCTGGATGCATATGCAGGAGTCACAGCCGTCTTCCCTTAGTAAACATGTAGGCGCCAAGGACCAGAAGACCGTCAAAGAACTGGCCCAAGTGAGGATGGTGCTAGATCCCTGGATAGGTAAGACTCCTCTCATTAAAAGTCAGCAGCTACAGCATTTATAGCTGGTGACTTTTAATTTTTTGGGCGGAGAGGGGCCATAGCTTCTCTTTAAGGACTTTCCCTTTAAATTTTCGCCATGAAAGCCACATGCACCACATTGCATGACACTGTATGAATTCTTGGCTGGAGCCCACATTTGTCATATGATCGTTTGCTGTGTCTGCCCTAGTGATTAACATGTCATTAAAAATCAGTTTGATTGGATCATTTTAAATCTTAATACTGCACAAATTACCTAAAGCTACTTGATGTGTGGTTAACTTCTTTTTTTTTAATTATGTATGGGAATGCGATCATCTTTATGAAGGGGAACATGAGTATTTGTCATGATATGCAAGACCGCGCTATATACTGGCACATTATGGTGAACTGATTTTGTCCTCCTCCTCCCAGCACTGGTCAGTTGTCACCACTGTTGTCATCTTCTGTCATTTTCCTGATCCTTGGGGAAAGTGGAAAAATAGTGTTCAACCCGTAGGGTTCTCTCACAGGTATTGCTTTCTTAAATATTACTGTTGATGTAAATAATCTGGTTCCTGGGCAGGCGGCTTCCACACCCCAGAGGATCTCCATGGTCTCTTTGACTTGTAGTGTACTACAACAAAAATGGAAATCGAAATGCCACACCACTGCTAAGGGGTATAGAAACAACTTTATTCCAATAAAAGTCAGGGGGACAATCCAAAAAGTAGCCAATGCATTTTGGGGGTCTAAGAGTGCCCGTTAACCCCTTAAGGACCGGAAAATGTGGAAAATGAAAACTCCTCCTATAAGTTTTAACCAGGGCTCGGCAGGACACTGACAGAAGTCACAAGGCTGCTGTATACTATGATGAGAAAAAGGCATTTAGCAGTTTATATTCACTGAAATAATTGCATTTCCATGTTGTGTGTACTGTGGGAGACCTGATATAATGAATGCAGGGTCCAGGGACACCAGATATAGTGAATGCAGGGTCCTGGGAGACCAGATATAGTGAATGCAGGGTCCGGGGAGACCAGATATAGTGAATTCAGGGTCTGGGGAGACCAGATATAGTGAATGCAGGGTCCGGGGAGACCAGATATAGTGGATGCAGGGTCCGGGGAGACCAGATATAGTGAATGCAGGGTCTGGGGAGACCAGATATAGTGAATGCAGGGTCCTGGGAGACCAGATATAGTGAATGCAGGGTCTGGGGAGACCAGATATAGTGAATGCAGGGTCCGGGGAGACCAGATATAGTGAATGCAGGGTCTGGGGAGACCAGATATAGTGAATGCAGGGTCAGGGGAGACCAGATATAGTGAATGCAGGGTCCTGGGAGATTAGATATAGTGAATGCAGGGTCCTGGGATACCAGATATAGTGAATGCAGGGTCCGCGGAGACCAGATATAGTGAATGAAGGGTCCGCGGAGACCAGATATAGTGAATACAGGGTCTGGGGAGACCAGATATAGTGAATGCAGGGTCCTGGGAGACCGGATATAGTGAATGCAGGGTCGGCGAAGACCAGATATAGTGAATGCAGGGTCCTGGGATACCAGATATAGTGAATGCGGGGTCCGGGGAGACCAGATATAGTGAATGCAGGGTCCTGGGAGACCAGATATAGTGAATGCAGGGTCTGGGGAGACCAGATATAGTGAATGCAGGGTCTGGGGAGATCACATATAGTGATTGCAGGGTCCTGGGAGACCAGATATAGTGAATGCAGGGTCCTGGGAGACCAGATATAGTGAATGCAGGGTCCTGCGATACCAGATATAGTGAATGCAGGGTCCCGGGTTTAGGAACACTTTAAAAGAATCATAAAGACTAATTTAAAATATGATATTATTTCCAGTTGACCATATTTTCAATCTATAGAATTTAAACCCTGTGTCCTCTTATATACTGTATATATTTAGATTTTAAAACAGTCCTTCAGTATTTATATAACAGTCTTTCGATTCCATTGACTTTTGCCCTTCTGACCTGCATAGAAAAGAAAAAAAAAAAAATATTATTTGTGGTTTACAACATGTTGCCAAAGGTGCGTATTGCTTAGCTAATGTGAAACCGCAATTCAGCGCCCTTGTGCAGGACATAGGGGATTGGATTCTGCCAGGACCTATTATATCATGTCAGCTTACCTCATGAATCATGGGTGCTGGCAGACTCATTGCACTATATCATTGGTGCAATTTATCAAGGGTACAATCACAATAATTTTTTTCCCGGGAAGAAAATATAGAATTTTGCATTGTTTTGGTCTTCTGATAGAGATGCTGGGATTGCTGCCATCAGTTCTGAGTCCTTATCTAAAGAATTTATTTTGGAAGTACCTGTAGAATACAGTGAAACATTAAGTCTACCATTCTGTGATGTTGTCTACATTATCATATGATAGTTTTCTCATAAAAATATTCAGTTCACTTATAATTATCACATAGATGCTAGAGTGTTATATTTTCACATGAAACATATGGTATCTATAGATAGCCCTTATTTGTAATAAATAGGTTTTTATGCTCACCTTGAATGACTTCTCTCCTCACCTCAAAAGATGCTTCATAGATCTTCACAGTTAAATAGGACCTGAACTATGAAACCTTTGTCTCAAAAAGACAAGCAGAGGGCAAATGAATAGCCACAGAGCTAAGGAAGCGGAAGCAGGGAGATTCTTTTACTGCAAGTCTTCAAGTTCAGCTTCCTCTCCAGCAAGAACAGTGAGCAGCACAGTAATGACATGATCAAATCTTGTGAGACCAGCAAGCAGAGGCAGCAGCAGGTTATGGGACTCATCCAGTAGATGCAGGCTACATCCATAAACTTTTATCCCTCCCATTGCTAGATTCAATTACACATCCATGTAGTGTACAGATTTGAGGATTTGGACTGCCTATGGTCTCTGGTTGTGCCCAGTGCAGGAGGGGTCTCCAGCCAGAGTGGGGTGATTGCCAAGGAAGACCAGGAGTATGGTCAGTGTGTGTATAGGGCGCACTTTATTTTAGGCATACCGTACATGCAGGTGTAAAGGAGAGGAAGACTGCTTAAAAGGTTGTGGACTAAGTGCAGCCAAGAGTTAGACCCTGATCTTCCCTGGATTAGGTAGGCCCAGGTGGAGGCCATTTGGGTCCTGGGACCTACCCAAACGTTTCTTTGGAACCCTTTTTTTCTTTCTTTAAAATGTTTAAAAATCATACATTGAATCAGAAAACATTTGGCTCCTGTGAGGAAAGCTAACATATTGGAAATATTCGTGTCTTGCATTGATAATGAATTTTATTTTAAAATGTCAGAACAGAGATTGCAGATGTTATGAATGGTGTGTGCTTCCTTTATAACATGTGGTGGCAACCACCATTTGTGTGGAGAGGGATAACTGGTGTTAACCAGCTCCAGTGACCCAAAAATTCAGCCTCATGGTGTTTTTGTCCCAGAGTAGGAAAATATCTGCAAAGAGTATGATCTAAAAGTGTGGTATAGGTGTTTTTTAGCTTTCTCTTTTAATGGACTATTTATCTTTTCATGACTGCTAGGTCCACGTTATACATTATATTCCTGTATGGGAGTGGAATAGAATCTTTGAATACAGAACTGGCCGGACTGCCAAATGTCCAGGGAGGCATTATTATGCAGCTTGGGCTCAGAGTATTACTGCACTAAACGGCATTCAAATTTTGTTTTCTTTTTAAAAAGTCTTTTGCTTAAAGAGGTTACCAACTGTCCACCAAGATCCCAAAGCCTTAGTTTATAGAACAGGATATATGGACTTTATGACTAACTGTTTGGAGTGCATCAGACATGGCACCTGTTGCTTATAAAAATATTACCAGTAAAGTTGTAACTGTATCCTGATTTCTTTTGAACCGTGCCATTACTACTAGATATGGGTGGCCGACTTCAGTCGACAATAAATGACCCTCCATGATGTCTGGATTTTAAAACATTTCAAATCTTAGTTTTCTCAGGGTATAATTAAGCTGTAAATCTATCTGCGGTTAAGCCTTTAATTAGATTGCAGAGGGCTGAACAGCACCCGAGGCAAAGCAAAGACTTTCTTGTGTCCTTATCTGGCTGATAGAATATGCTGACCTAGCCCGGGTTATATAATGAACCCTCAGGGTAATGATTTCTGTCAATGGAAGGGGCCGTTCAAATGGATCATTTTTGACCTGCGTTTTTTGTTGTTCCCTCCTCTGTTAAATGGCACAGGCTTGCCTGTTGTGAGCCATATTCGTTACTCCGATGCAGGTGGTCTCCAAAGCCTCTTGCTTTGCTTGGCACATCGTAGCTCTCTAAACTGTTTGCTTTTTGTGGTTTGAACCTTTGACTTGTCCTGAAAGGTGGGGCCATAAAGTACACCACATGAATGAAAATTAGAACAAAAAGAGAAAATGGCAAGCAACTCAGTCCATTTATAACTAGCGTGGGATGGGCAGTTATTTACAAGCACATACAAAATTTTCCAGTACTGAGCTCTGCGACCTGCAGTGGGGACCAATTTTTAACATTTTAATAAAAGCAGAGGTCTCCATTTCTTATAATTACAAACACACACTATGTCAAGGTTCCCCTGCAAGGCGTGGGTCCTACTTTAAGTCTAAACATAGACAACATGTATAGCAATGAATGAAATGAAATCACAGCATAAAGTAAACAACACAACAAGTAAACCTGTATTCACTACAGTTGTAGGCATCATGGAAATTTGCACCACAGGGCTCTGCACTCTCATGTAATGATACTTAGAGCAATGTTGTTGTCATTACATCATTTCTGCTGCCTGTTTACAAAAAAGTACCTCCTGAAACAAATATTTTCACCACAAAATTGTATAAGAGCTTCTGGTGGAGCGATATATTTGTGCCAACAGTCCTCATTTTATACTATGTAAGTCAGTGCCCACTTCCAAAGAAATGAAGAGTCTATAATTTTTTATTATAGGTGTATTTTAAATGATAGAGACAGAATATCAACCAAAAATCCAGAAAAAAAAATGATACAAAGTTTATAAATTGAGTTTTAGTTCTGTGAGTAAAATAAGTATTTGATCCCCTACCAACCAACAATAAATCTGGCGCCCACAGACTGGCTATGTGCTCATGTGGTACACAGATTAGTCCTGTCAATTTAAGAAGGTGCTTCTAATGAAAAATCGTTATGTATATAAAATACACTTGTCCACAGAATCTCTTTCTTCCATTCAAACCTCACCATCATGGGCAAATGACCAAAGAGCTGTCAAGGGACATCAGGGACAAGATTGTAGACCTGCACAAGGCTGGAATGGGCTACAAGACAATCATCAAGAAGCTTGGTGAGAAAGGAGACAGCTGTTGGTGCGATTATTTGCAAGTGGAAGAAATACAAAATAACCATCAATCGCCTCAGTCTGGAGCTCCATGCAAGATTTAACCTCACGGGGTAAGGATGATCATGAGAAAAGTGAAGGATCAACCTAGAACTACTAGGCTCACAGGAGCTTTGGAATGATCTCAAGGCAGTTCGGACCACAGTTACCAAACAAACGTGGTAACACAATATATCCTGAGATGTGTGCAAACCTGGTAACCACCTACAAGAAACGTCTTATCACTGTGCTTGCCAACAATGGATTCTCCAAGTACTAAGTCATGTTTTGTTTGGGGATCAAATACTTATTTTACTCACTAAACTGAAACTCAATTTTATAACATTTGTGTCATGTGTTTTTTCTGCATTTTTGCTTGATATGCTTTCTCTATCATGTAAAATACACCTCTGATAAAATTATAGACCCTTTATTTATATATGTAATGACAATTTAATTCTCAGAATGGACTCGGAAACAAAAAGTTTGCTTACCTGTACACTAGTGGCTGTTGTCAGCTTCAAAGTAGTCTCCTTGTGAAACGACACAGTTTTCTAGATGACTGTGCCAATGCCCCAAAAATTCCTGGAATTTGTTTTCCACTTTCTTTTGTTGCGGTGCGCTGGATATATGGAATGTCATCAAATCTGTTTCATTTTAAGGCATATTTTAATTTTGATAACAGCCTAAAGTTGCAGGGTCCTAAGTCAGGGGAATAAAGGGGTTGGTCAATTTTCAGAATGGATTTCTGGGCCAGGAACTCGCAAATACGTAAAGCATCATGTGCAGGATCATTGTCGTGGTGGAGAATCCAGTTGTCAGGTCAGAGGTCCGGTCTTCCCTCTGAAGAGATTCCCGTAACCTTTTAATTTTCCACAGTTGCATCCTTCTTTTGTGTTTTTGGCTGCTGACTTCTTGCAACATCATGGACATCTTCTTGTCCCCCTCCTTAAGCCACCTATTCGAAAACACTTGATTTCTTCAAGGAATGTTCACCAGTGTAACAGAGCAAAAGTTTCCCTCACATTTTTGCCAATTCTTACGCAAAGTTTGATGTTAAACCACTGCTCCATTTTCCTATCACTCATTTTTCGCCAACAGAGCAATGCACACACATGTTATTTCTTCTACTCAGTAAAGACTGAGAATTAACTGGTCTGCGAACCAGGTAAGTGCAAGTCAGAACATGTTAGAACACACTCGAATATGAAAGGCTCACCATTCACCACCATAGTGCTATTCCAGGGGCATTCCGTGAATGAAATGG